TGTGTGTGTGTGTGTGTGTGTGTGTGTGTGTAGTGTGTGTGTGTGTGTCTATCATGTGTGTGCATTTGCCTGCAGGGGTTGGAAGAGGGTGTTGGATCCCCTGGAGCTGAAGTTACAGCAGGTGTGAGTGTTCCAGTGTGGGTGCTGGGAACCATGGGTGGGTGCTGTGGAAGCTCTATTAATGCTGAGCTGTCCCTCCAGCCCTATGAGGAGCGGTTCTCTAAAAATTGACTCACAAATTAGATTTGCATTTAACGCATAAGATTTAGGAAGCTGGAAAGATGCCTCGGCTGTAAAGAGCACACACTACTTACTCTTGGAGAGAATGCACATGCTCACAACCGTCTGTACCTCTAGTTCCACCCTAGGTTTCTGGCACCCTCTTCTGATTTCCGAAGTCATCAAGCACACACATGGTGCAGACATACAAGCAGAAAAAACAAATATTCACAAAATAAGCATAAATATAGAAATCTTAAAAATAAACTAAAAAATTTAGGGCTATGTACAGAGTTTTTAAAATTTTTATTTTTCTATTTAAGTGCATGAGTCTTCTGTCTGCATGTATGTATGTGCACCACATGCATGCCTGCCTGCTGAATTCAGAAGAGAGCATTGGATACCCTGGAACTGTAGCTATGGATGGTTACGAGCCACCATGTGGGTGTAGGGACCCTAACCTGGATCCCCTGCAAGAGCAGCAAATGCTATTAACTGCTAGACCACCTCTCCATCCCCAGTTTTTAAAAATCTCAGAAAAATTACCTTTTTTCCCCAGGCAGTAAAAGAGACACTCATTTTACCACTGAGGACCTGAAGTCCCTAGGTTATCATGTCTGTGACACTATTCTGGATTTCTGTGATCCTGACCAGACCAAGGTAAAGACAGAGTTTCAAACAGTGGACTATCAGTCCTCGGCTGGGCTTCCGTGGGTCCAGAATCTGCCCAGGGGAACTTCGTCGCCCTCTTAATATGCTTTATAATTTATTTTTATTTTATGTACATTGGTGTGAAGGTGTCAGATCCCCTGGAAATGGCTTTACAGACAGTTGTGAACTGCCATGTTGGGAATTGAACCCGGGTCCTCTAGAAGAGCAGCCAGTGCTCCTAACCACTAAACCATCTCTCCAGCACCCCCCCCCCTTTTTTTGAGACAGGGTTTCTCTGTAGCTTTAGAGCCTGTCTTGGAACTAGCTCTTGTAACCCAGGCTGGCCTCGAACTCACAAAAATCTACCTGCCTCTGCCTCCTGAGTTCTGGGGATTAAAGGCGTGCGCCACCATTGCCCAACTCTCCAGCCCTTCTTAATATTCTTTTTATCTGATGTTTTCATTTCCAGAGAAAATAGAACCCCTATCCTGCAAGCTGTCAACAAATGGTGACACTTCACAATCCTCCTAGAAGGAAGAAGCTATCCTTTGGTCCCCTCTCCATAAATGACGGGTTTGCTATAGCAGCATCTTGTCTTCTCTTTCAGAACAATGGCATACACAGCGTGCTCACTAATCCTGCCCTGTGCACTAGGAGATGCCCCTCTGGAGCCTGCCTGCCTAAGACTAGGCCTCAATTGCTGCTTTTTTCTGTTTCATCTTTTTATCCTTCCCCTCCACTGCAAGTGTTCTCAAGCTTGACTCTGTCCAAAAGCTGAAGGTTTCTTTGGCCTTGTTCTTCCGATGGCTATTTTTGATTCACTCACTCAGCTTAGGAGGAGCATATACCCATCGTCCCTAACACATTTCTCGTGTCCCCGTATAAGCACTACTTGGATGCAATGCTTAGTCAAGAATTAAAAGGCCTGTTTGGTGCTTCCCTTCCCCCAGTGACGCCGGAGCACAAGGCCTTCTCACTCACGCTCCCGTGAACCAAGCACTCTACTCCTGACCTACAACTTTATCCAAGCCATCCTTGCCTTAGGCCAAAGTTAGAACAAAGCCATTCTAACTCCTCCGGCTGCCTTGTAACTCAGCCAAACAGTGAAACAGTTGCAGAAGTGGACTAAAGCAGGGACGTGGCTAAGGCAGTGCTCGCTGACCCGCCGCTTTAAACAAGTGTGTTTGTATAGCCCAGGTCTCGTATCCATTACTATGTCTTTAATAGAAGGAGTTACAGTTTGCCCTATCAATAAGTCACCTTTCAGCACACCCTCAAAACCACTCATGACTAGCATGTAAAATGTTTCCCTCTGCTGCAGTACACTCAGTGTCTACAGGAGCTTAAGGAGCTCTTACAACAGGAAATCCACAAGAAGTTCAATAACTCTGGACAAGAGATGGACTTAGAAGGAAGCTGGAGTGACTTTCCTTTGTCCGACATCGAATCCAGGTAACAAATTTCATTTCTAAGGGCTTGATAATACATCCTTGATCCCAGTATTTGGGAGACAGAAGCAAGGCGATTGGGAATTTAAGGAAAGCCTGGATCACATTTACATCACACCTGTCCTCTTATTTATTTGTTTGTTTATCTATCTACCCATCTATCTTTTTATTTTGAGACAAGTTTTTACTGTATTGCTTGGGTGACCTGCATCTCACAGAGATCTGCCTACCTCTGCTAGATTAAAACATGTCCGTGTCCTGAGACATGCCTTCACCTTCAGAATTCTGGAGGGAGATGTAAGCAGATCTCTGTAGTAAGTCCCTGGAGAGCCAGGGCTACATGGAGAGACGTGTCTATTACTACAACAACACGTGTGAGCAGCACCACCCAGAAAAGGAAGTTCTTAATTGTGCTTATGGTTTCAGAGGGATGGAGTCCATGGTGATGGAGCGAAGTGCACGGCAGGAACAGCTGAGAGCTCACTTTTTTTTTTTTTTTTTTGGTTTTTCGAGACAGGGTTTCTCTGTGGTTTTGGAGCCTGTCCTAGCACTAGCTCTTGTAGACCAGGCTGGTCTCGAACTCACAGAGATCTGCCGGCCTCTGCCTCCCGAGTGCTGGGATTAAAGGTGTGTGTCACCACCGCCCTGCGAGAGCTCACATCTTTTTGTTTTGGTTTCATCTTGTTTTGTTTGAGACAGGGTGTCACTATAGATAGCTGACTGTCCTGGAGCTCGCTCTGTGGACCAGGCTGGCGTTGCGCTTGCAGAGCTCCACCTGCCTCCGCCTCCAAATTCTGGAATTAAAGACGAGTGCCACCACACTTGACTTGCATGTTCATATCTTGAGCTGAAAGTAAGAGGCATAGAGACACCATGAATATATTGCTCCAGTCTTTCAAAAACTCAAGCCCTCCCCCAGTGACACACCTGCTCCAAAACAGCCATAGCTCCCAATCCTTCCCAAACAGTTCCACTAAGTGGGGAACATATGAGCCTGTGAGGGCCATTCTCATTCAAACCACTACACCCTGCCTCAAAAACAAAACAAAATGCTATTGTAATAAAATATATTAAAGGTGATGGGAATTTAGAATAAAATATTAGTGGTGACAGAAGATGTCAAACTGACTGGATTCTGGATTGTTTTTCAGTCTTACAAAAGAGGCCACTAGCAAACAGAGGTGAAGAAGGTGAAACTTCCCAAGCCCAATTTAGCATCTGGTCATTTCTTTTCTGATAGTTAGATCCTGTTGTGGTCAAAGCAGTTCTATGTCTTGGTGGTGAGCCATTGGCCTTGCAGTATTTCTCTAGCTTCTCAGATTCCAGCTGGATCCACCCCTGCTTCCTAAAATCAGACAGGTGATCCACAAAAGAACTGCCAGGGACCAGAACAATGGAGAAGACGAGGAAGGGAAACAGTCTTTCCATTCCACCACAGGGCTCTTGTAATGCTGAGATTCTGGGTTCTTGTCATAGAGTTGCCTTGTCCAAGAGACCTGTACTCACCTGATATCCTAACCACAGCTACGGTGATGCCTGGATTCTAAGTGTATTTTTGTTTACTAAATCTTTTAATATTTTATTTAATTTTTAAAGATATATTATATTTTATATGTATAAATTTTGCCTGCATATATAGATGTGTGCCTCGTGTGTGCCTGGTATCCATAGAGATCAGAAGAGGGCATCAGATCCCCTAGACTTGTATTTACAGATAGTTGGGGCCTTCATATTGGTGCTGTGAACTGAACAAGGGTCTTCCAGAGCAGCCAGTACTCTTAATCTTTGAATGTCTTAAACTTTGGATAGAAAGTATTTTATTCAAATACCAACACCATTCTCTCCCCTCAGGTTTCTTTCTTATTCCCGCTAGTATGTTTCTCTTCCAACTTCATCTTTTCTCTTTTTTGTAGGTGTGCAGGCTCCAGCTTTCTGCCCAAGGGGCCTCAGATTGCCTAGTCATTCTTCAAAGGTTCCAAGGCTGGGCTTGTAGCCTTCCATCTTTGAAGACAGTTGGAAGGGTGTGTCTCTTCCACCCACTCTAAGTTGCACTCTGAGTTCTGGGCCACTAAGTAATTCTTCTGGCACAGTCTGACAAATGTTTCTACAGAGAACTTGAACCACAGCATCAGACCAAGCAGGGTGCCCTCTCCACTCATTGCTCCTCCCACTTTCCCTCAGTCTGCTGCACTGGCCACTCTCTGTTTGCAGTCTAAAATCCAAAATGTCCTGTGCATGTCAGCTCACTGACTTAGCCCAGGAGAATGTCCTGTGCATGCCAGCTCACTGATGCAGCCCAGGAGAATGACTTGTGCATGTCAGTTCACTGAGGCAGCCCGGGAGAAGCCCGGTGAGGACAGGCAGAGCTGCACTATATATAGCTGAATCAGCAGGAATGCTGATGCCGTTAGCCCAGAATGAGAAGGAATGGTTTCCAGCTTCGATATCACAAAGTCAGATATCACAAGCCTCCTTGGGTTTCTACCTCTGCGTTCTCACAATCACACATAAAGGCAGGCTGGGAATAGTGATGTTGCTCTGTGTGTAAACACATGATTGGCATTTTCTGGGACATGCTGCATCCAATGCCTTGATATTCCATTTGCTAAAGAAGTCTGTTATTTCCAAAATCCAGCAGCCTCAAAGTCTCCTTCTAGACGGAGAAACCTTTGAGAAGAGCACATTGGAAATCAGATCACAAAAATGAGGCTTTCCTCTGCTCTGCTGTGCTAGGTGTGACTCCTCACTGTGCTAGGTGTGACTCCTCATTGTGCTAGGTGACTCCTCACTGTGCTAGGTGTGACTCCTCACTGTGCTAGGCGTGACTCCTCACTGTGCTAGGCGTGACTCCTCACTGTGCTAGGTGTGACTCCTCACTGTGCTAGGTGTGACTCCTCACTGTGCTAGGTGTGACTCCTCACTGTGCACCAAGGGAGGTCACAAAATGAGTGAAGGCCTGGTTTGAAATGCCTTTTTTCCCCTGTGAAATTTGAGTTTTGTGTTCAAGATACTTTTTTATTTTTTATTTATTTTTTTGATACTTTTTTATTTTAAATCTGTTTATTATTATTATTGGGGATGGGGAAGAACTTTTATCCACTGGCCCTGAAGACACTTTTTGGAGCCTCTATTATATACAGTGTAATTCTCAGTTCTAGTTCACCATATCCCAGGAAGAGGTAAACTTATGTGATATGATGAGAAATGCTTAACTATCTGAGTCCTTGTTCATCTTAGTCCTCACAAGAAAGGGCAGAAGAGAGTTTGTGGAGAAAAGTTTTAGTCTATACATCCATGCAGAACTTGTAAATGAAGAATTGATGTCGTTAAAAAGTGAAGAATGGGCGGTGGTGGCGCACACCTTTAATCCCAGCACTCGGGAGGCAGAGGCAAACTCTGTGAGTTCGAGACCAGCCTTGTCTACAAGAGCTAGTTCCACGACAGGCTCCAAAGCTACAGAGACACCTTGTCTTGAAGAAACAAAACAAAACAAAAAACAAAAACAAAAACCAAACCAGTGTTCCAGGGCTAGAGAGGCAGCTCAGTCTTGGCGTTCATGAGCCTCTGGGCTTGGGCTCTAACATCAAACAAACAACAAACAAAACTGAAGATTTATTTATTTTGATTTTCTTTGATGTGGATGGATATTTTGCCTGCCTGCATATATGTGTGTCACAGGCATGGAGGCACTGTGGGGGTCAAAAGAGGGCATTGTGTTGCCTGGAATTGTTGTGGTAGAGAGTTCCGAGCCTCCTGTGGCTTCTGAGAACTGAACTCAGGTCCCCTGAAAGAGTAGCCAGTGCTCTCACAATGTAAACTTGACTGGAATTCACTATGTAAACCAGGCTGGCCTCAACTTCAGAGAAACCCACGTGCCTCTGGCTCCTGAGTGCTGGGATTTAAAGACACAGGTCACCACACGCAGCTTGTTTTTCTTTATAGAGACAGTGTCCACTATAGCCCAGGTTGGATTCAAACTCAGCAATCCTTCTTCAGTGCCCCAAGGGCACAGTTGTGCTATACCTGGCTGACAGCCTTGAAGTAACTTTGGTATTGTCTAGCCTGCTGACCATTTGTCTCATTATTTATCTAGTTAAGCATTCAGCACATTTCCCAGAGCAGCTGGCAGAATCCTGGCTTCGGGGAATTAGTATCAGCTCGGAAGAAATGAAGATGGAGATGCCCTCAGGGGAATCCCGGTCTCCCTCTCCCTCTGCCAGGGCACCTTTGCCCGTCTGGCCAGGGTTTGTTTTGCCACACTGACAGTTCAGAGCCTCTGCTCCTTGTCTGACAGTTCTTTCTGTGTCTTTTTTCTTATTTTTCCTAGCACAAGTGGCTCTGACAGCTCCCTCTCGGGTGGTCTTCCTGCCCACCTACTGAGCATGGCAGATGAGGTGAGAGCTCGCTGATTCTTGTACACACAAAACATTGAAACTTAAAAAAAGACACACACACACAAAAAAAAAAAACAACTAAAAACACCATAGTACTAGATAATTGAGAAAATGTTCCAACCATAATAGAGCCTACAGGAGTTATAGCCCCAGACTTGCAACTCAGGAAGGTAGCCTAGTGTGAGCCAGTCACCAGTAAGTCAAAAAGAAAATTGCAATGGTGTCCTAGCTGGTCGCCTACCCCGAGTATGTACCGTGTCCCTTATGTGCTTTTTGCTTAATTGCTGGAGCTTCTTTATGGTAACATAGGCTAAGTATTTTAGCCACGTGTCAGTTATCAGAGTCATCTGGACCTGGCCTGGCTTTGTTTTGTCAGCCGTGTGCATTTACTATTGATCCCTTTGGTAGTGGTCAATATTCGTGGAGTCAAGCATGTTAAATAGGGAACAGCCTCTGGAAAGAAGGTGATTGAACGGTTGACTCATTTGCCACACCGATGAATAAGAACCACATGCCAGGCTACTGTATATCAGCTGTTAGAGGGTGAGTAACTCTGCAACCCCCTCTGACCAGTTTCTCTGCAATTTCAGGAACAGCTGAATCAGAAAATGGTGTTAATGAAGCCAAAGAAGAAAAGACTTCAGACGAGGAAGCAACGAAACGAGCAGCACCAGAACTATTTGATGCGGGAGTTAAAGTTGACAGAGGACACCCCAGTAAGCAATCTCTGCTGCCTCTCCCTGCTGCCTGTCATTTGTATTTCACAGATGAAGCAGAGGTAGGGCTAGAGTTTATTCCCAGCTAGAAGGGGTTGTAGGAAGAAGGGGTGCTTTCTGTTTCAAGGTCAGAGCCCTTCCTCAGGTCCTCTGAATGTGTGTCTGCGCAGATCTCAGCCTCACCACACTGGTCTTCCCCCGTGCTCCGCTCAGGCACTCGCGGGTAAGGCTAGAACAAGAAAGAGGTGGAGCTGGATGGAGCTCAGGCAGAGGGCCTGGGTGGCTGGGTGAGGGCCAGGAGGGGACACCTCTCTACCTTGTTTGTAGCTAGCGTTCCCACCACTGCCCCCTGCCGGGAGTCTCGTTCTAAGGCAAGAAATGCTTTCAAGAGTGTTTCCCTGGTGGGGGAGTTGGGGAGATGAGGAACAGATCCGCTGAAAATTTCACTCAGTCCTTGTAGGGAAGGGCAGGATTTGCGTCTACTCTGCAAAAGCAGTCTACTGTTTTGAGAAATGCAGAGAATTCTAGTTCTTCAGTGAGAAGTGAAAGCCGAGGCTCGGTGAGGTGGTGATTTTGCTTGGCTCTTTGTCACCCAGATTCTCTGATCTCTCCAATTAGCACATCGGTTCCTCTAGGTGAAGGATGCAGTAGCCATTGTGTTACCTGGAGGTGAAGATGATGCTAACATTGCTCTGGATTAAAAACTGTAATCTTATATCAAATATTGATGATTTGTGGTTTTATATCAGAAGCATAATAAGAGGAGGCTGTTTTTCTTGCCTATACAAGGTTTCATCCACACATCCACACTTGCCAGATTTCTTTCTCCTATGCCTACTAGATGGCAGGTCCTTTACTGGACACCAAGAATGCAGCAGTAAACAAGAGTCTGTCTTTCCTTGGAGACCTTAGGACCTAGGGGCACTTTGCGACAAGTCAGCAGGAACTATGTTGCAGAGAAAGACACATGAACAAGAGGCACGCGCAAAGTTTTCAGTACTTTAGAATCTTCTCGCTGAAATCGTTGATTTTCAGTGGATATGTTGGCACACACCTGTAATCCCAGCACATGAGAAGTAGAAGCAGGAGACCAATGAGTTCTACATGAGACCTAGTACCAAAATGGAGAAAATAATTAGATTTCAGAGAATAAGTTTATAACTCGATGGTAGGAAACTTGCCTAGTATGTGCAAGGCCCTAAGTTTGATTCTTAGCATTGCTTTAAAAATTGGTTTTGAACCAGGCATAGTGACATAGGCCTGTAATACCAGCTCCTGGAGAGACTAAGACTGAAGGACTACAAGTTCGAGGCAAGTCTGGGTAACTTAGAAAGACCCTTCTCAAAATATGGAGGAAAGGTCCTGAAAAGATAGCTCAGCAGTTCGGAGCTCTTGCTGTTCTTACAGAGGATGTGGACTCAGTTCCTATCATCACATCAGGCATCTCATAACCATCTATAGCACCAGAGGATCTAATGCTCTCGTCTGGCCTCCTCAGGCACTAGATATACATGGTGTACACTTGTACAGATATATATTACAACTGAGCTACACAATATATGGTTACTAGCTCAGTAATATACAGGTATATGTACACACACAGACACACACACACA